TCATGTGTTTGTACTCTCATCACATATAGTTCCGCCTATCGTGCTAAGGATTTTTCTCCATTTTTTCTGTATGTGGTTTTTGTTATTTTTATTATTATTTTACGATATATCTTATAAAATCGGTTGCATCCTTAGTCAGCTATATCTCTTCTTTATTATTATTTATATTACTTTTACTTTTTGGAAATTGTATACCAACTTGTTTTTTGGGTTTTTTAATATCAATTAATTCATTTTTTAGAACAGTAGATAGATTCTAATCAGTGGAATTAATATTTCCAAAATATGCTGACTGAATTATGCCTTAGGATTATCATAGTATTTTAGGAATAACTTTCGACTCGGTTACGTGATCCTCGCTATCGATATCGTGAAAATAACTTATAGAATAGCCATCCGCCTCCCCTTGGAGAAACTAGACCCCATCCTCTAGCTGACTAATGACTCCAGCCCTAAGTTCCAAAATATCTAGAAAGTGTCCCGCGGTTAGGAGGACCGCGGATAATGGAGGACATCCAATTACACAACCTCTTCGCCGTGGGGAAACACAAGGGTACATCCCGGTCACTCGATCTTCTCACAGCCGCTCCATCATTAAGCTTTAATATCTGTTTACCGCGAGCTGCAACAGGAAACCAGCTCAAGGAAGGGAAAAAAATCTTCAAGATTACACAACGAGCCTTTAATTTCCTCCCTTGGGCTCTTACCTGAGCTTTTATTACATTGTACTTTCATTCCTTGATGAGGGTGGCATGGTCTCGTGTATAGATTAGATTGTGAATTTTTAAAGGAGTTCAGATGGATTGATAGTTCAGTAGGACCTCATTAGGTATATCAATATTTCAAAAAAATAATATTTAATATTTATGAAGTGTGTTCCTTAAGTAGAGTGAAATATTTAAATAGGCGATAGAAGACCTCAAGAGCTACAAACAAGTTTATATAAACAACGGCACGATTTTCTAAATAAAAAAAAGAACATTATCATTTTAGAAGATAAATAATGGGATCTTCATTTTTAATCTTTTTTGTTAATAAAATGTTTATTTATGCAGTCATATTTATTATACTAAATCCCAGGTCATGAAAAAAAAATTAAAGCTTTGCAGTAATTTATTGTAATAATTTTAAATGTTAAACTAAAAACACGGATGCTTTTATGTTAGAGAATACCAAAGCACCTCGGTTTTTTTTTTGGTTTTTTTTCAACTAGAGGTCGATCTCAACATATTTTTTAATAAATCCTCAACTTAATTAATATGACATCAAAGCTTATTAAACAAGGAAGTTTTTCTAAAAGATCAGAAGTATAATTGGTAGGCGATTAAAAAAAAAAAACGCGAATCATTAACGATATTTTTAAAAATATAATTTAGCACAGCTCATCCGCTCAAAGGTTCTCTTTAAATGGTTTTAACAATGACAAACTCTACTTTTATTTAAAGTTAATTTCATCTAGTTTACTATGAAGTCACTTTTAATTACTTAAACTAAATAGTTTTTTAGTTATTTCTTCCTATTCAACAAAAAACGTGACAAATAAAAAAACACCAACTTTTATTTCTAACTTCCCTACTGAAAATTAGGCCATTCATTATAAAAACGTTTTTGTAGATCTTGAAGTCTTCTATCATCCATTTAAATATATAGTTTTTTAAAATATTCAAATAGTACTTCGATAGTTCGGTACTCTGTATTTTAAATACTTGGAACGAGTAGATGTAAATGCCGAAATATTATTATTTTTTTTAAATCATCAAGTTCGGGTTCAAGTTCAAATCAACAATATAATGATATTTGGGTTATATCTATTTATTAGATTTTACTTGCACTTTTCATTTAAAATTTTAAAATCGACATTGGAAAATAAAGGTACACGTCTTATTTTGAAAAATCTTTTTATTGATCAACTATTTATATAGTTGGTTAGTTTATAAATACCAAGTTGATGAAGATTGATCGAATATATATATTTATATATATGCATAAATATATACATTTTATTTAATGTTAGCTGATAAGGTCTTTTAAGTTCTCTATTTATTTATTATTATTTAATATGCGATCTACTATTTCTTACTTCAAATATAAGGAAAATAAAAAATCCAATAATGTTGATTTATACAAAATACATGACATTTAGAAATAATTCAGAGAAATGAACACAGATAAACAATTCCTTCATTAAAGGAAGGAAAACTCGTGGAAATGTGAAGATCATTTTTAATGGGAGCGGTGCCAATTTTTAAAAGCGCTTTAAAGTAATTCTTCAGATTATTGGTAATATCATAGAATCAACAAAATGAGATAACGTTAATCACAAGGAAACAAAGAAGATGAAGCAGAAATGACAATGAAAAAGATGATGAATCGAATCTTATGATGAATCTTTTTTTATCTAGATTGAATCGAAGATGAAGTAACAAGTACCAAGATGGATGATTTTCATACTTAGCTTCTGATTTGAAAAAATTACATTAAAAAAAAGGATAAATTTTATTAATTATTTTATAGGAGCTTTTAAAAATCTATAAAGCCCACTTTATAGGTGCTGGGAGTGCCACAGTAGAGTATCCTGATATCTGGATCGATCCACGACTGATGTAACAAAATAAATAATTACATTCCACAACCAGACTCAAACCGGAGTATGTATATGTATATGTATATATATATATATATATATATATATATATATATATATATATATATATATATATATATATATATATATATATATATAAACATACATTCATTTGTTCATACATGCAGTATATAAAGTTTAATATATTTTTGAAATTTTATTTTTTATTTTTGTCTACTGAAACCTAAGTATAATTAAATGTGTTTTATGGATCTCGGTGCAAATAAATTGACTCAATTACAATCCTTTTCTTATCTATACTACGCCTTGTAATAACGACGCTGTTACTGGTATTGGTGGGGGAACTAGCTCAACTTATGATCCTGGTGATACCTTTTGTCAAATCCTACCTATAGATACCCGCACCTAGTATCCGAAGTAGGAGTGTCATGATTCATATGTTGGGATCTCAAAAATAAATATGAACTGACCCAGAAAGGAATCGAACCCAAGAAGTTCAGAACCAGAGACCCAGCTTCACCGTTCTTGGTCATTTTAGTCTCGATAGTAAATTAAAATAAATAAGCTTCAAATAATTTTGTCCGGTCTCCATGCTCCAACACTACATAGTGCACTTTGTAATAATGGATGGCATTCAATTTTTAAAAAAATCTCTATTTTCTCTTCATTTACTTTATTTTCAAAATAAGTATTCCGAGAAGACTTAAACTCTCCCTCTGGGAAGATACATTCTGTTCCCTCGCTAAGATTGCTTCCTATTTATTCTGGAGCACTTTCCGGTCGCCTGCGGTCACATCTACAAATCTCGACTAACTAGTTTTCAGAAATACTTTCCCACCCCCATCTTCTCAAGTTTCTAATTAAAACTTATGCATACGTTTACACCTTATATCCTCTTACACAATCGCAAAACCGTTTTAGATCATTGGGAATTTCTAACTGACAGGGATCTTTAACACTCCTAGAATACTTTCATCTGAAGTAATAAGAAGTACGGAAATGAAGAAAATCAATCTGTGCTTGAGTGAGTGTGCACTTCGTGGGAATTGTGCAATCCAATATAATATCAACAGATCCAATAAAATAATGCAAAAGAAAGAATAATTAATAAGCTTTTCCATTATAATATTGGAGTTTATTTTGATAAGCTGAAATTAAAGTATATCTACGAGCTTCAGTCAAAACCGTTTATTGGTTTATTTTATTAGTACTCTAGAGATACACCCTGTCGGCTTGATGGCCGGACCAGCCCCTATTTTACAAATTATACAACGGTTCATTTGATTGTATTACTGGTTGCTCAAATTGTATAACTGTAATTTACATGTATTCTGTGGTTCAGATTGTAATATTTTTTTATCGACATGAAATAAACGGAAACCACAGTTCGGAATTTTTTTTAAATTTCTTTAAAAATCTATAGTGCCCAATTTATAGGTACTGGGAATTCCATACTATAGTACCCTGATCTCTGGATAGATCCACGACTGATGTAACAAGGTAAATAATTACACTCCACAACCGGACTCGAACCGGAGACCATGAATATTAAAAGGCATTATAAGGTATTTTTATTAAATTAAGTACAGTAAATAAGAGTTTTAAGTAGTAATATAACTTAAATAATTGATAATCAAAATAAATTATAAAAATATATGTTTTATGCTTATTTCTATCATTTGTATTGTTATTTAATTTATCCATGTCATGGTCCACAAACAATGAATATCGACGTGTAATCCTCAATTGACCGCTAGTATAACTCACTAGTGGATCCAGGATTTAATTTTTTTTTTGGGGGGGGAGGGGAGGGGACTTCAGCCCGAAAGTTTTTTTTATTATAAAAATAACGATAATTACTTTGGAAAAAAACTAACTACCTATATGAATTGGTGTTTAAGTGATTCCTAATTACTAGTTTCTTATTTACAATTAAGTATTATTTGTAATTGGAATATTTTTTTCCATAAAACATGGTTATATTTTACCATTTTGGAGGGAGAGGGAGGCTTCAGGCCCAAAGCCCTCCCCCGTAGATTCGCCCGTGGTGTAACTTGTAAATAACCGGATTAGATGTCATATCAGTAATACAAACTTTTTCTTTAGTCACAATGAAGAAGCTATATTTGACGAAATATTAGGCAAAAGATTTTTGTAATCTAATACGTTATGATAAGACCTGAAGTAGTATCAGTGACTCTCCACTTGTCATTTTCAAATGTATGAGCTAATTTAATCATAAATTATAAATTTATAAATAGATAGTATATTGGATGGTGATAAAATCCTTAAAATGCATCAGATAAACTTTTAAATGTGTCTCTGTTGAGAAAACTGCATTCCATAGTTTGTAAACTTTGTGAAGTCAAAAACTGACGCAACGCACGACGCGACGATGCGCACGTATCTCCTCTTCAAGGGCCGAAATGGCCAGAAAGAAGTGAACTTAAAGAGAATAGACTCGGTAAGGTCAGTAGAATACAACACGACCCTCGTGATGTGGCTATCTGTGCGAGGGGTCAGGATGTGTAACGCATGTCTTCAGCCATCTTGCGATAAGTCGGACGAAAGGGCATCAGCAGGTTCCAACGACTTCGATCGCATCCCATTCCTCTTAAGTTACTCACAGGTCATGACATATGGTTCAAGAGTCTCAATGATTGGAAGAATCGTCATTCTTTTAACGATTTTATCCACATTATTCTAGGCAATAGCAAAACTATTGATTCAAAAGTGCTAAAAATAAATTAAAGATAAGACGCAAATATATATGTAGTGATACATTAAAGAGAAGGAATTTAAATACGAGAAAATAATTGTCAGTCTAAGATACTACGAATAATTAAACAAGCAACATAGTACGTGAATAACAACAGTTTACACACTGACTTACACATGCATGCTGTCAATCAACCCTTATGAAATTACTACTAACGATCTCATAATAAGTTAAATGGACACTGCAATCAGCTAATAAAAGAAATGACCATAACTATTATGCTCACATAATGTTTTATAAATAAAATCCATGGAAGTGATACTGCTAATGTTTTTTCTCCTGACTATCAAGCCTTTTTTATATTTTTATTTTACTTATTATTATTTTTTCTCATGAATATACTAGCCAATCTTCTGATTGTCGATAAGTTATATTTTACAGCTGCGTATTAATAAATGAATGCGCAAAAAAAAAAAAGTCATTGAATGAATTATGGACAAACACAAGATAGCTATTGAAGAATAAAAAACATATCAAAAGTTGAAGATGTATCAGTCGCCAGATATCGTATTCATCATTAAGAGAGGAAAGGACGATGGTTGATTAGCTCTAGCTAATTTAATTCCAACCCAAATCCAAATTTTACCAGACAAATAGAATTAAAATTTAATTTATCATTTTTTTTTTTGTAACATTGATGTAATGATTCCAAAACAATGTTACCTTTATTTTGATAAATGGCCGAGATATATGCTCATAAAACCTCTATTCGTATGTTATTTTGAAATTAACCGGAAAATATTAATGTCGGGTTCTAATCTTGAGAGTACTGCCAAAAAAAATTTTATTCGATATCAAATATTCATTAATAAAATGACAAACTCAAATTAGCTAACATATAATAAATGCTAATTGCAAAGAATGAATTTTATATTACAATTTTGGTTTATTATTTTCAATAATGAATCATTGTGATCGACCAAAAAATTTTAAAACATGACCCCCTCTCAAAATTTGAGATTTTACGTTTCAGGATACGTAGAATTCGAAAAACGAATAAAAATTGTTTTGTCCGTCCGCCGTCCGCGCATTTTCTCCGAAACTACAGGACCGATTTTTTCAAATTTGGATTTAAAATCAGATGTCGCCCGAGCATGATCCTCGTTCATCGACATTACCATCCGCTTTTTCTTTCAAAATGACGGCCGAAAAACTTGCTGTAGTGCCTAAACGAATTTACCAATTTCTATGAAACTTCGCTAAAGTCCTCTTCCCGACGCCCTTTAAATTTATATATATAACGCACTTCAACGGAAAGGAGCTGGAAAAAAAGTTACGAGGGTAGGTAAAATTCAATTTCGAGTAACTCAAAAAGTATACACTTTTTTGTCAATGTTGTGATAAGATGTTCCAAAGCTATTTAAATTTCCTAAAACATGAAGGAAGTTTCATCGAAATCAAAGCTCTATTAGTAGGGATATCGCTATTTTAAAATATTTTTGGTTTATTATTTTCAATAATGAACCATTGTGATCGGCCAAAAAATTCAAAAATTTTAATATTACATAAATGTTTTAGGTTATAAATAAATAGTATTTTTTTTTAATATTAAATAAATTCATTTTTTCTTGAAGATATTTTGTTAATGTTATATAATAAAATCCAAGCATGAGAGATGTTGAACAGCAAGCATTTCACATGGGAAATATAATCTAAAACTTGGATTTGTTTTCCGTTTATAATAGAAGTGTTTTATTTATTTGTTGAAGTTGAAAATTTTCTTCTGAACCAATCCAAAAAATAAACTTTCATTCTGCAGTAATTATGAGTCTAAATAACGTTTAATTACAATTTTCTTCCTTTTTATAGAATAAATAATTATATATTAAATGCATTATTAAGAGAAATGCAAAAAATAAAGAAGAAGAAAATTAATTACTCCAGAAATGTATAGAAACTGAAGTATAAAAACACCTTTTCTTTTTCTCTAATTACTCCTTTCAAAACGTTAATTTCGACTTCGAGTCTAATTACAAAGTGAAGAAAGCTAATACCTTAAATAATAAAAAGCAAATAACATAAAAAGTGTTTAAATAATCAGTTTCACTTCCTTAATACGAGTGAACTTTAGAATGAAATGTGACAGCGACGGAACTCATCGATAGTTCCGTGTGGCAGCCTTAACCCGAACACTGTAGGAAGCGGCAGGCGTGCAATCCATTTGGAACGGTTCGCGCTCAGCGGTGACTAAATGCATGGGCTACCCTTGAACCCCAAACCCAGGGCCTTCCAACATCCTCGTACCTCAATACTTCCGCGCTGCCCTTATTACACGGTGGGCCAGACCCCCTTACCGTGCACCTCCCCCCACATCCCTATAAATTGCATATCGTTGTGTTCCTTGTAACAATTTATTAAAAAAAAGCCAATGTTCCCACAAAAAAAAGTGAACGCACTGCCCCAAAATGGCGTCCAAAGATGGCGGATTGACGGCTTTGACTTTAGTTAGTTTTTTGGTCACTGAGAATCAGCATTAAGCTTAATTTCCTCATAGTTGGTCTTTTATTAAAGCTGAATAGTTATAGAATAATAAAACATGAAGAAATATTAAAAAATAATTGGCTAAGGCTATGAAAAACACCAGTAAAGTCAATTTTTTTAACAAAAAAATTTTCAAGTTACAAATCAAGCGTCGTTTGTAATTAAACGGCCTACAATAACGCAAAACGTGCTGAAATAAACCATCTGGAGAATATATTTCTCTTTCTGAAACGCTGATTATTTTTTACAAATGTTTAAGTAGTTCCGTAAAAAATGCACTTATGCGGCAGAAAAGCGGTACTGGCGTGGGTGCCTACAGGCCTCTACCACACCATTCAGTGCCCATAAATGGCTTAGTTATAGTGATATAATAACATTTTTGGTACATTATATTGGTTTTATTAACGAACAAATATTAATGCAATAATTTTATAGTAAAAAAAAAAAATTAAAATAAAAAAAAATTTATTATTATTTTTTTAAATTTTAACCTCCTTTATTCTATACGTAGGTCGTTTAAGAATACCTCAATTGTAAAAATGATATAATTATAATAATAAAACTTAATTAAAAAATATTTTGCTAAATATCTTGATTTTTTTTTATTTAACGTTTGCAATTTAACACTGTGTTTTGAATATTTACTGATTCTTAGAAGTAATTAAAATTTTTATATACTTCCCAGGAAATGAGTCGTATTCATACCTTTTTTATAAACTAAAATAATATATACCTAATCTGAACTATATATAATGAATAGCTACCAGGTTGTTTAGTAAAACTCATATATCACTAATTAAAAAATTAATTTTTATTTCCTTTATTTTGTGCAGAAGTTGGACTATATCATAAATAAATAGGAAATTTTAATATTGAATGAATTATTCTCTATGCACAAAGAAAGATATAAAGGGTGACCCTATAAGTTCTTCTATAAACCAAAACTGATTGTTTGGATTTGATCTCAAAATGAGGAAAAACGTGAACTTAAACGAGAAAATTGGAAAAATACATTAAGCGAACGAGAAAGGAAGTGCCAAAACCTCGGAATAGATAAAAAGGACCAGTTATATCCATTATATAGCTAAATGAATGTATAGTAGATAGATGAACAGAATATTTCAAGATGCTGCTAAAACGGGATCAATTGCAGTTTGGATGATATTAAGTGGACGATGTAGGTTTATTATGGTGAAAACCACTTTATTTTCGATTGCTGAAGGTGCACCTCGGGACTATATTAACTTTGAAGATGAATATAGAGATGTATATCGAGAAAGTTATAGCTCATAGCTTTCCTTCTGTTTAGTGGATTTTCAAAAGATTTTTTAAGGTATCTTATATTAGTTGTAGCTCGTTATTCTTCTCGTTATTCTTGAATTGTTCGGAATTTGTACCATATCATAAAAAAATAGGAAATTTTAATATTGAATGTATTATTCTCTCTGCACAAAGAAAGATGGAAAGGGCGAAACCGAACTGCTTTGACAGTTTTGCGCGTACATAGGCAACAAGCATATTAGAAAATAATATGAAAGGACTGTGGTTTTTACCTTTACAAGAAAGGAGATACTAGGAAATGTAATACCCATCAAGACCCATTCCTGTTTAGTGTATCAAACAAATTATACACAAGAATCGTAGAAGCTGGAATAAGAAATATTGTCGATTGCCAGAGTGATATGGATTGAGAAACTCAAGTTGCACATTGGAAGAGAAGTTGAAAATTGGGACTGTCTTCACTTTAAGGCAGGTTATAGAGAAGTCCACATAAAAAGAAAAATAGCTCTCTATCTGCTCAGTGCCTCACACTTTGGATTATGCTAATATCTAACTGTCTTTCAGAAAAACTCGTTTTCCTTTTAGATCCCTTAAAAAATCTTTTGAAAATCCACTAAACAGAAGGAAAGCTATGAGCTATAACTTTCTCGATATACATCTCTATATTCATCTTCAAAGTTAATATAGTCCCGAGGTGCACCTTCAGCAATCGAAAATAAAGTGGTTTTCACCATAATAAACCTACATCGTCCACTTAATATCATCCAAACTGCAATTGATCCCGTTTTAGCAGCATCTTGAAATATTCTGTTCATCTATCTACTATACATTCATTTAGCTATATAATGGATATAACTGGTCCTTTTTATCTATTCCGAGGTTTTGGCACTTCCTTTCTCGTTCGCTTAATGTATTTTTCCAATTTTCTCGTTTAAGTTCACGTTTTTCCTCATTTTGAGATCAAATCCAAACAATCAGTTTTGGTTTATAGAAGAACTTATAGGGTCACCCTTTATATCTTTCTTTGTGCATAGAGAATAATTCATTCAATATTAAAATTTCCTATTTATTTATGATATAGTCCAACTTCTGCACAGAATAAAGGAAATAAAAATTAATTTTTTAATTAGTGATATATGAGTTTTACTAAACAACCTGGTAGCTAT